TATTTTTCGAATAGTCCCGCCGCATTTCCAGGCTGCTCGCCTTGCGGGCTGGGAGGAGCCCAGTCCCAGAGGGGTTAAGGAGGATCCGATTCCCAGGGTATCCGTCAATCAACTTTTACCAGAATCGGTACACCATCGCGCAGAGCGTCAGCTGGATACTGGTTCAGATCTTCTTGGGTGCATACTTTTTCTCCTGCCTTAGACATTTTCCCATGGACACAATGTGTGTCAGTCCTGAGAACAACACCTCTCTCTCAAGTCGATCTTAAAAAGAACCTTGAGACACTTCCACCGAATTACCCATCCTGGCCACAACAGGTTCCCAGTTGAGGGTAAACTCTGTGGGTGGAGAGTGGTAAGGAGGACCCGATTCGCAGGGTATCCGATTGACTTTTATTTAATATGCGAAGGTGTAGTACCGATTCAGGTAAAAGTCAATCGATGGATACACACGTGGCCAATCGGCTCATCGAAAAACTCTCTACAGGGAGGATGCAGTCAACCCTGTGGAGGGTTGCCGTTTTTGTTCGACCCCCCATAGGATATATGCAATGTTTCCGGTCAACCCTCCGAGGGACTTCAGAACAGACCCTCTAAGAGGGTATTGATACTGTTTCCTCGAGAGGGTTATGAACCCTCTAGAGAGTTGCCAAACCCAACCCTCTAGGGGGGTCGCGTGTCAAAGTCCCTCTGAGGGCTGACTAGAGGAGCTCCTTATACCCCATAGGGGGCCGAAAAACATGAAAACCCTCCAGAGGATATTCTGTTTGCAGCCTCTGCAGGCTGAAATAACCTCCAGAGGGTTGCCAAGTTCATCCCTCTGAGGGGCTTGTGTGTTCAAGTCCCTCATAGGGTTGTCTGCCCATATTTCCTTATACCCTATTATTGGGGGCATAGAAAACTGAAAAGCCTCGAGAGGATTTTTTGTTCGTAGCCTCTGCAGGCTGACAAGACCTCCAGAGGGTGGGTAAAGTCAGTCAGCTAGGGGGTTTGTGGCTTCAAGTCCCTCAGAGGGTTCTTTGTCCATATTACCATATTCCCTACGGGGGATCAAGAAAAAATGAAAGCCTCTGGGTCAACTGTCTGTACCCTCTCTGCATGCTGGAGAGACCCCCAGAGCCTGTCAACAGTTCTAGTTTTGAAACCCCACTCTGTAGGGTACACTACACAATTTTGCATAAACGCTAAGGAGACAGGTTTATATTAGATCCATCTTACATTACTGAACAAAAAGAACGCGTGTTGTACGCGACACGCTACACGCACGCGCTTACAACGCGCAGCCCCCCGCCCACGCCGTCTCATTCAATTCCAAGATTATCCCACGCGCGTTACTTTTGGCATGAAAAAAAGCGTTTGCCATGCGCAAATCCTGGTCTGTACTCCATCTCTCTGCTTGCGATGGATTTTCATCAACGCACATCTCGCCAACGAAAGCCCCTGCATCTCCTCCCACAAGCCTTCACTCATCATTTTTCCTTTACCTAAACAAGGAAAATGTTGTCTCAAACCGCTCCCCCTGGGGATCCCCTGTGTAAACTGATACAAAACGCCTCCTGTAGGACCATCTAGACACACAAGAGTAAAGAAAACTGTGGACTGGGATACGACATCATGCACGGCGAGAAACTACCCAGCACTGAATGAACGGTTTAGTCAGCCGTACGGGTAAATTTGTTGCCTTCCTGGCTAACTGCCTCCTTGTCCTGCCCCGACTCGAGGTCGCCGCCCTGGTCGCCGCTTTGTCCGCCGTTGCCGTCGACTTGCTCGTTCCCTTCTTCACCATTGCCGTCGACCTGCTCCTGCTGCTCCTGCTGGCCCTCGCGGTTGTGCCCCTTTTCGTGCCCCGACTCGTCGCCGTCGCCTTCTTGCTCGTTCCCCTCGACCTGGTCGCCGAGCCCATCCGGCCCGGCGTCGTCGCCCTCCTCGTTGTCGCTGTCCGACAGGAACCCGACGGCACCAGCGTCGAGGCCCTTATGCATGATGTCGTTGCTTTCAGCCTCGTCGTCGCCCCCTGTGTTTCACATACGTACGTGACGTGGGGTTTAAGAAAAATCGTAGCATTCATGAGCATAGATGTTTGGAAGCAGGGGCTATATGTGCGCGCTCACGGAAGGGTTGACCATGGATGCGGAAGAATTAGGGGAACTAGCGTGAGTTAATAGCCTACAGAGGGCGAGGCGAGGTTTGTGCGGACGAGTAGTACCAGAGCCTTTCGTGTTAGCGGGAGTCTCGGAGGTCCTGGCGCATGGGGTTGAAGCGCTAGAAGGCGGTTCATAGGCGCCTACCCGGCGTCAGGCGTTGCGCCCCACACCAAAAAGACGGTGTACCCCATTTTGTGCCCGAACACGCGGGGTATACCCCTTTTTGTCAATTGCCTTGAAGTTAATCAAGGAAAAAACGGCTCTTGTGGACATTTTCAATAACAAAGGCCTTTTTTTACGTGCAGGGCGTATAGGACTTGGATTGCAATCTACGACTGCAGAGCGCGACACCAAGGAAACCTTCAAAGTTGTGACGTCATATGAAGGGAGGTGTCATAATAGACACGACGAACGTGAAAAAGGTTTTGTGTTGTCACCTTGGAGGTACGGGGAGAATGCTATCTTGGCGCTATCCTCGGATATGACATCGGAGTGCAGGAGCTCTCCAACTGGGCGCCCGGGTCTCGTGGTGAAGCGTAACGCTGCAGCCCACACACTGCAACAAGTATTAATGCGTACACATTGATCACAACATAGCAGGCAGTGAGAGGTTTAGTGCGGCGAACATCCAATACCACGATTGCATTTCCATGCAGTCGTACCTCGGTGAAGGACACACATGGGGTTTCGCTGAAAAGGTGTTCTTGAGCCAGGCAAGTGTCGCTAAGGTTCTGAGAAACAAAACTCACGATGCCCGGGATCGTCGCGTTTGATACATCAACAGAAAGGCCTTGGGCACGGGTACTAGTAGAACTAAATTGGAGGTCGAACAACATTAAGGCACCTCATTTTCCTCTAGATATCAACCATATCTCAAGTACACACAACACTACAACCAAGATGANCCAGGCAAGTGTCGCTAAGGTTCTGAGAAACAAAACTCACGATGCCCGGGATCGTCGCGTTTGATACATCAACAGAAAGGCCTTGGGCACGGGTACTAGTAGAACTAAATTGGAGGTCGAACAACATTAAGGCACCTCATTTTCCTCTAGATATCAACCATATCTCAAGTACACACAACACTACAACCAAGATGATATGTTGTATGCAAACACCCGGACCCGGGGGGTTTTGAGAAATAACCCCGGTCGACCGCACACCAAAATCTCTCCGGGGAATAAATCTCTTACATCGAGGCGTAGACCAGGCATATGCTACCCCAAACATGTCGGAAGTACCAAGAACAGCACACAGTCCATCACATTCCACCAACACTTTACTGGAGCCCCCCTCCCCTACCTCTCCCCATTGTTTATAATTCAAGAGCGAGCACATGCACAACTTCCGAAAGGAGGTACTGGGTTTCGCGGTAATTTCCTTCTGTAAAAATGGTGTCCCGTACTTCTAATTTATCAATTTTCCTCGGACGACGATAGGCGATGACTAGATTGATTGAGCACAACTAGGTCCTCGAATACTGGAGAACCCTCGGGAGGACCCTTAGCAACTTGTTCCAAGAACGCTGAAGACGTGGGCTCTATGCGAAGCATGTTCGTCGCACTGGTGATGATCGGTAGGGAAAACTGATTTCGAGGGAAATGAAGTACATACAACGGGGGAAGAACACAAGCATCGGACATACAGCAGTATGGTGAGGTGCCCTAGGGACGAGGGTCGATCAACGATCCGTGAAACGCTTCTTCTCGATGTCATTGTCGTCAATCCTTCTGCACATAGGCGTATCAATCAATCGCACCAAAAACTAGAATCCATCCTCGGATCGAGCAACCAGTCACATATTTATGTACTTTCAGCAACCAGGGGTCTTCACACAGTACCGCAAGTGAAGTTCAGAAACACATAATTACGATCCAATGGCCAATGAACTTCTGGTCGGCACTCTTAAAGCATGGTGAACAAACGGCGGTCTATCGTTTCAACCCGAAATAGAGGGCATAACTCGCGAACGCTGCCTCATATGCGAGGTCCTCGGTGAAGAAGTCACCGCCGTATACTTCGCTCAAAGTTAGTGTCCTGCCAGCCAGCCTGGTGTGTCCTATGTCGACTATCATTGACCACGTGGTTCTGGCGTGCTGCTTGAGTATCTACAGGGACGTCGACGGAACAGTTCAGCGTTTCGTACGGACGGCGCATGGCAACAAACAAACAGGGCATCTATAACTGAAAAATGGGACATCAAGCAAAATTCTGCTATGGAACAGTGTCATCATGCAATTAACTTTCGACATGACTCGGAAAGCTGAAATACTATTGACGGACCGTAGCGAAGGAGGCACATGAGACACAGGAGCTGTACGTCTGGCGCACTACACATAGGCGCCAAAGGCATAAGCACAGGCGTGCGGGTTGCAGCCCATCGAACTAACATATGGCGGGCAACGCTTCCATCAACGCAGATCAGCAATCTCTCGGTTTTGTTATTATGTGATCTTGAATGGAATGCTCTTCGGATGGGGGTCACCGTTGAATCATACATAAACGAGGGTCATGCATGAGTGAACGTCCTAGATCTTGGTGAGATACATACTTCGCCAGGAAACGATGCCCGGGCAAACTCCAGCACAACATGTACCTCGTCACCGACGCCCTTCATGGACTCATATTTCCTGCACCAACAGTGGGCAAAAAAAAACATTCTCCGGAGTATATGGAATAGTAATTATTCGCATGGCGAGATAATAGAACGCGGGGTTAGAAACCCCAATCGTGCCAGGACGACGAGCCACACCCCCTCTGTTGCCCAAACAAAGGCCAGTATCATCGTGAGGTTATACATATTTTCCCGCTCCTCGGCCTGCTCCCCGGCCGGGGCCGAAATCGACCTAGTGAGTCCCTCGCGGGCGAACCAGGACACAACAGATAGTAGGCGAGTGGTGACCCAAGGTGCAACTCACCGCCGCGCTGGCTCAGCGTGGCGGTGAGGATGCACAGACGGTGGTAGTGGCGAGAGGTGTGTATGGACACTGTTCCCGCGGCAGTAATGCAAAGCGGCAAACTGCACCTGGCAACCACCGTCGCGGAAAGCGTGGCCCACGAAGCTGGAGGAGTAGAGAGATTCGTAAACACCAGGTCAGTAAGAACCGCTCGCGGGAGAAGGGAGACGACCGCGGGCACCGCGGGGAGGGAGTGCTGCACCCTCCTCGTCAAAACACCACAGGCAAGAACCGAGCTCTGCAGAGATGGATTGATGCGAGGAAACTAGCCGCTCGGAAGATACGGAAGAAAGCACACCCGCAACGCGAGGCGGACCGAGAGAGACACGAGACCGCAGCGGCCGTCA